TCCAACAACCTGGCCTACTTATCAATCAACAAACATCTCAAAGCTTACTCAATAAACTCTGTGATTTTTTTTTTAATAAAACTGGAATTTGCCTACACTTGAATGAGTTATACGTGCCTCTGAGCCATTCAGATTTGACTATTTGTAAGAGCTAAATAGAAATACAGACAGAGCCTTCACTGGCCAAATTGGGCCCTTCCAGAGTCCGAACCCCCAGTTTAACCAGCAAGTAGCAGCTACTGCAAAGGGACTTATCCCCAGCTGGGGAAGAGAAAGGGTCCCAGAGGTGGAGTCCTGAAACTGGACCACCTCCCTTTCTCCACTGCAGGGAGTGTGCCCACCTGCTGGGTTTCCACTGACAGCTGTTGACCAAATGCAGGTGGGTGAGCAACATGTGGCTTGCGCACCCTGACATTTCTCCTCTCCATCTAAGTGGGCTCCTAAACACTCTTCTCCCATCTGGTATGCGCAGGCGGTTGGTGGGGAAGGAGGCAAACCCCGAAGGACACTTGCGCTATTCTAAATGCGCTGCTTCTATCACTAACCTTTATCAACCTTCTGACAACTCTGAAGTCACCATCAATCCCCTTATTTAGTAATGAGGAAACTGAGGCACAGAAAAGGACGCAAGACCATCAGTGGCTGATCTGGAACTCAGACACAGGTCTTTCAGGAGCACCTCACACCAGCCTCCCTGGACACCCACCGACTGGACCACTCACTGTGAAACTGCATCCGGAGGTAGGTGTTCCTCTCCTTCATGATTTGCAGTTCTTCAAAGGCAGGCTGCCTTTTGCCAAGGCGGATAATCTCCATCTCCATCCTTTTAGCGTCCTGGCTGGGTCTGAGATTTAAACTGACAGAACAGAAATTAACAGGAGAAACGTATAGAAGTTGTAGGTGACTTGGGGGCCCTCATAAGTAATAAAGCCCCAAAGAGTCAGTCATTTATATTTTGAATTGAATAAACAACAGCAAACTGGAAATGTGGCTAAACTATTAAATTTAGTAATAATTACTGGGAAGATTAAAAGATAAGAGTTTTTTGTTTTTGTTTTTGTTTTTTTTTGTTTTTTTTTGGTGAGGTTTTTGCTATAGGACACGTGCACTCGCCAGGAAGACAGAGAGAGGACAGAGAAAGAAAGCAAGAAATCACCACCACCACGCCGGGGTGGGGGATGGCCACACTGCAATCCCTTCTCCTCCATTCTCCTCTCGGGATTTTGGGCACACACGCACACATACCCAGCTTGAGTTTAAGCCACTGGGTCCAGGACCCAAACCAGAGTCGACTGCATGGGAGTCCAGCAACATAGCCATTATGCCAACTGCTGGTCCCAAGATGAGAGTTATTTTGACAAAGTCTGTGCAGAATTCCGTGGGTCACAATTTTTCATCCATACAGACAGGATGTTGTTTTTCCTTTTATTATAAGGAAAGTGTCCATCACATGGGAGTGTCATCTTCCGGTTTTAAGAAATAGAGGAAGGTCTGAGTGATCTTCTTTCACTAGGAGTTTTTCAGGAGCCTTTAATTTAGTTATCATGACAAAGTCTCATTTTTGTTTTAATTTGCAAGAGAACACATGCACTCACTGGAGAGGAAGAGAGAAAGAAAGCACTCCCCCCCACCATGGGGGATGATCACACTGCAATCCCTTCTCCTCTGTTTCTCCTTTCAGGATTTGGGGCATGCATGCTCATGAGCCCAGCATGTTTTTCAAGCTGACATATCCCACTGCACAGTCAGCCATGTGAGATCCAGCCACCTTAACTACCATGCCACCGCTAGCCCCAGAATTGCATACTTTAACCCCTTCATTTGCATCTGTCACAGAATGTATCTCTTCAAAGATGCTCAAGAAAGTCTTTAAAAATACATGAATTGTATTATACAGATATGCACAATGGTTACGTTGTTGGATTCTCACGTAGTCGACTTCAGTTCAAGACCCAGCAGCTTGGGACCAGCAGTTAGCGTAATGGCTATGTCGCTGGACTCCCACGTAGTCGACCATGGTTCACGTCCCGGACCCAGTAACTTAAACTCACGCTGGGCGCGTGTGCGTGCGCACCCAAGATCCCGAGAGGAGAATGGAGGAGAAGGGATTGCGGCGTGGCCATCCCTCCTGGGGGTGATTTCTCACTTTCTATCTCTCTGTCTGTCTGGAGAGCGCATATGCCCTATAGCAAAAAAAAAAAAAAAAAACTCTCCAAAAAAAAATAGACTCAGCAGCTTAAAAACTCACATCAGGCACATGTCACATGTGCCCAAGATCCTGATCCTGAGAGGAGAATGGAGGAGAAGGAACTGCTATGTGGACATCTACCCAGGGGGTGATTTCTCACTTTCTGTCTCTCTGTCTCTCTCCGTTTCTCCAGCGAGCACACACGCCCTATAGCAAAAATCTCTTTAAAAAATAAAAATGGCCAGCATACAACAATATATGACAGCCCACTGACCTCAAGAGAATGTTTGGGAAGTGACTAAAGAATATTGTGGGCAGGCACTTCCAGAGACTCCTGTCCCCTTAGATTAAACAGGCACATGCCCTATCTCTGGCAATGTAATAAGACATTAAAAAGCCTCCAAGTTCAGGAGCCAGACTGAGGACTGGGAACTTCCCGAGCTCCTCGCCTCCACTCTGGGGAGCTGATGGGTAAGAAATGACCAGGACCATTCACCGCCAGGGCAGGAAGACAACTGGGTGCAGTTAATAAGTCATCCTGTCTTGCTCCTGTCCCCAGAGGATCTGACGCTACACACTCTTCAAAGCAGAGGTCTGGTGACACCCTAGGAAATTTCAGTGACCTAAGATTGTTCCAGATGAGCAGGTCCCTGGGGAGGAACAGCTGATCTAGATGGACTTGAACACAGAGGGCCCTCTCAGTGGAGGCTCTAAGGGCATCTTTGTTATTGGAACACCATCATCATAAGAAGAGATAAGGGAGCCTAGCCCACAAGAAAAAGCCCTAGGAAAAGCAAACTCGAAGTGTCCACACACCACCTCATACCCATTTGGATGGTTACCAAGCACAAACAGAAAATAACAAATGTTGGGACCAGCAGTTAGTGTAATGGCTATGTCGCGCTGGACTCCCATGTAGTCGACCGCAGTTTGCGTCCCGTACCCGGTGGCTTAAAACTCACGCCGGGCACATGTGCATGTGTGCCCAAGATCCCGAGAGGAGAATAGAAGAGAAGGAATTGCAGTGTGGCCATCCCCCCTGGGGGGTGATTTCTTGCTTTCTGTCTCTCTGTCTGTCTGGCGAGCACACGTGCCCTATAGCAAAAAAAAGAAAAAGAAAAAAGAAAATAACAAATGTTAATAAGGATATGAAGAAATTGGTGCTTTGGACACACTGCTGATGGAAATGTAAAATGGTGTGTGGAAAACAGCATAGCAGTTCCACCAAAAAAAAAAAAAAAAAAAAATTGGAAGAAGGATCTTAAAGAACTGAAAGAAGGGTCTTGATGAGGTATTTGCACCTCTAGCAGCATTATTCACAATAGCCGAAAGGCAGCAACGCAAATGTCAACTGATAACCCAATGGGTAAGCAGAATGCGCTATACGCAGCATACTGCATTAGTCAAGGTTCTCCAGAAAAACAGAACCGCTAGGATAGATAGAGAGAGACATGGGATCTTCAGAAAATCAGTGGGAAAACTAAACCAAAGAACAAGTTTATTTTGGTAAAAAGAAATGTGAAATCTATGTATAGTTTTTTCATAATATACATTTCCTTTCTTTTCTTTTAATTTTTTCTCCAGAGGGTGCATACAGTCCCTGGAGAGAGAAAACGGAGGGAGGGTGAGAAAGTAACCCTTCCTCCCATGGGGAATGGTCAGGCCACAATCCCTTCTCCCCCCATTTCTTCCTCTCAGGATTTTAGGCGCGCACGCATGAACACACACACACGCACACACACGTTTTTCAAGGACTAGAACTGCAGAGTTGGTCTTATGGGATCCAGTTGCCTTAACCTCCAAGCCACCAGTAGACTATCATAACATGCATTTCTAATGAACTTTTTGAAAACTGCTCATATAGAAGAGGACATTTATTATGAAACTTGACTCACTCAATTATGAAGGCCAAAAAGTCCCACCATATGCCATCTGCAAGGTGGAGAACAGGGAATACAGTGGTGTAGTTCAGTCTGAATCTGAAGGCCTGAGAACCACAGGAGCCGATGGTACAGCTCCCACTCAGTTGACAGCCAGAGGACCAGGGGCTGCAATGTCCACAGCAGAAGACGGATGTCCCAGCTCAAGAAGACTGAGACAGGAATCATCTTTTCTCCATCTTTTTTGTTCTATTTGGGGCCTTTAGCAGATTAGATGATGCCTGCCACCGTGCGTGAATGCGGATCTTCTCTACTTAGTCCACTGATTCAAATGCCGAGCTCTTCCAGAAACGCCTTCACAGACACACCCAGAAATAGTGTTTACCAGCTAACAGGACATCCCTCAGCCCAGTCAAATCGACACATAACATTAAACATCACACATACAATAGACTATTAGTCTGCTTAAAACAGAAGGAAAATATTTTCTTTTTCTTTATTTATGATAGAGCACATACATAAGCACCTAAGACAGAGACAGAGAGAGATGAGAACCCTCCACAGGGCCTGATCATACCACAACCCCCTCTTCCTGTCTGAGGGATCTGGGGCACTCGTGCATGTGCCCAGAGTGTTCCAGGATGACAGGACCAGGGAATCAAACCGAGTCACCATGCGGGATCCAGCTTCTCTTCAGCCGCGCTCCTAACACTGAGCCATGGAGCTATCCCACAAAAAGGACAGAAATTCCAAACACAGGCTACAGCATGGATGAACCTTGAGGACATTCAGCTATGTGATTTAAGTATACCAATCCCGAAAAGACAAAGACTGTAAGATTCCACTTAACATGGGGCACAGAGAGTAGTCAAATTCATGGAGGCAGAAAGTAGAATAGAGGTTAGCAGGGGCTGGGAGGAAGAGGGGTGGGGAGTTGTTGTTCAATGAGTACAGAGTTTCAGTTTTGCAAGATGAAAAGAGTCCTGGAGATGGATAGTGTGATGGTTGCACAACATGCAAATGTGCTTAACATGACAAAATGGCTAAGGTGGTACATTTATGCTATGCGGATTTTACCACACATTTTTTTCTTCAAAAAAAGTGTCCACGGGTATTAAAAATCCTCATTGCCCCATTGGTGACCAGCTGCCACTTTTTTTTTTTCCTGAGCTGTGTGTCTTCTTCAGCTTCTTATCCACCTGGTGCCAAGGTAGAAGGAGAGTCAAGTAAACTTTCATTTCATTCCAGAGAAATGATAAACCCAAGAGGCAGGCAATTTGCCAGGGCAAAAAGAATAAGAAAATATACCAAAAAGTCAATCCAGAAGGTGTCCCCTCTGTTCCACGGCCTGGCCCTGCAGACACTGAGCGCTGGGCATGCCTACCTTGTGCAAGGTGATCTCGTCTCTCCTGAAATTTGACATCTAGGGGAAGGTAAAAGAGACAGAGTGCATCCTGGACAGGTTATAATCCACAAAATGTATTATCATTGTACTTCGGATTCTAAATGTTTCTTTCAATGAGTCACAAAGGTTAACTGGTTCTTAAATTTTCAAACCCACAAGATTTTCCGTTTATAGATTGTCCTCAGGAGACCTCTCTCTGAGTGTTCCCTCCATCTTCATCCCCAACTGGCAGCTGCTTCTTAGCGTGCGTGTTTACAGAAATACCAGTAGTTATTGCATGTTCCTTTCCATGTGATTAAGCATTGCCATAAAGCCCTGGCTGGATTAGAAATAGATCTTTGCCTTCTGAGAAAGCGCTGAATGAACAAGGCTCATGGTGGCAGTAGGCAATTTGTGCCATCTACTGGCCACTGACGGTGTCACACACCACATGTCCAAGACCCCTGCCAATGACCTGGCCAGAGCCATTGTCCTGCCTACTCCGGGACAAGAGGTGACTGCAAAACATGACCAACCAACTGCCTCACTATGGAATCGATTTCTAGACCTTTGTTCCATTCACCTGAGATATTACCTGAGCAAACAGTCCCTTAGATCCCTTGCTCCACAAAGGGCTGGGAGGAAGGACAATTAGGCACAGGGACCGTACTGTGGCATTATTTTCATATGTGTCCAGATTGGAGATGAATGGGATACACCAAAATATGCTTTGCAACCATGTTTGTTTGTTTGTTTTAATTTTTGCTATAGGGTACACGTACTCACCAGAGAGAGAGAGAGAGAGAGAGAGAGAAATCACCCCACAGGGGGAATAGCCACACTGCAATCCCTTATCCTCCACTCTCCTCTCTGGATTTTGAGCACATACACCCAAATACCCAGTGTGATTTTCAAGCCACTAGGACCAGGACTTGAACTGTGAAGCTGACTACATGGGATCCAGCACCTTAACCTCCATGCCACCTGCTGGCCCATGGTTTACAACTTTTACTTATAACATTTGCCACATGGCTTTTAACAAATACTATCTCCTTTGAGCCTCATTAACAGCTGTATGTGCTAAGTTCTATTATTCTTGTTTTACAGGTGAGGAAACAGACACTGAGAGGTTCAATCAGTGGATCTCATGCCTTTCTGAAACACAGAGGGAAATGAAGCATAACTGGGGTACTTGCTGGGAAGCAGAAGGACAACATAATGGTTCTCTTGTCTATTTTCCAAAGCAAACAAGCCATCATAAAGATAGCCAAATAGTCCTTTTAATAGTTTGGAAGATTCTCTTTAAAAGCCAGACAAACAAATAGGCATCCTCAACTTGATAGTCACTGTCTCACGTTCCGGTTCATTTCGGCAAATTTAGGTTGACCATGCAGGTTCCAGGGCAACAGCCTGTGGGCAGTACTTTGCCACCATCTTTGCAGGGCATTCTTGAGAAGTGCCCAAGATCCAGCTAAGGTCAGGAGGAAGGGGGTTACAGGGTGGTCACACCCTCAGAAGGGCGCTCTCTCTCTCATTCTCATGGATGGAGACCCATACTTTAACGTGAATAAAGAAAAAATTTAAGATTTTTTTTTTAAAAAGAGAATTGACTCTTTGTTTTGGGGCTCCTTAAGCTCAGAATTTGCCTGGGAAACACAGCCTGCCAAGAGCAGAGACCAAAACAGAATACCTGTGCATATTTACACTTCATATCCATGCGCGCCCTCTGGTGGCCACTTCCACATGGGTCTAGGCTGCTAGTCCCTGAAGGCTGGAGGAGTACTGTTACTTCCAGGAGAGAGGAGAGAGTTTGGGCTGTTTGCCCAAGGTTCAAGGCAGAATCAGAATAGAAACTCCATTTCCTGGAGCCATTCTCACACACGCTGCTGGGAATTACAGCCCACATGAAAGAGAGAGTCCACAGGAAATTGGAAGATGGGACTAATAAAAAGTTCTTATAGCTGATCTCCCCTCTGACAATTTCTTTTTTTTTCTTTCTTTTTTTTTTTTTTTTTTACTTTTAAGAAATTTAGAAGTGGGGTAAGAGGCAGAGAGGGGGCAAAAAGGACTTCAAGGAGATATCTGTGTTTTGAGGTGGGAGAAAAAGGAGGAGGAAGGAGAAAAAAGAGAAATTGATCAGTCAAGGCCCGTTGTGCCAGTACCATGACTTCTTTCTTTTTTTTTTTTTTTTTTTTTTTTGCTAAGTTGAAGATGGCCTCTCAGAACAAGATTCATTTCTATGATTTGGGGATGCATTCTAGAAATGAGAGAAATGAGAGAAAAGATGTGAATGGTTGATGGTATCTAAGCCCATTCCTTAAAAAAACTAAAGCTCGAAAAGGTTAAGTCTTTTTTTTTTTTTGTCCTTTTTTCTTTAAGAGAGATTTTTACTATAGAGTACATGTGCTCACCAGAGAGACAGAGAGACAGAAAGTAAGAAATCACTCCCCAGGGGGATAGCCATGCTGCAATCCCTTCTCCTCCACTCTCTTGGGATCTTGGGCACGCACACATATGCGCCTGGTGTGAGTTTTAAGCCACTAGGCCCAGGCCTCAAACCACAGTCAACTACGTGGGAGTTCAACGACATAGCCATTACACCGTCTGCTGGTCCTGGGTTTAAGTCATTTTGCCAGTCATCTTGACTTTGTAAAGCATATTAAAGACCTAATCTCTGGCCTGCAGTGGCATGGTTGTTAAGGCAGCTGGATCCCACATGGCTAACAGCATGCATAGTTTGAGTCCCAGACCCAGTGGTTTGAGAAACGGGCCAGGCATATATGTGTGCCTGCATGCCCAAAATTCTGAAAGGAAGAAGAAATGGAGGAGAAGGGATCATAATATGACCATACCTCACAGGGAGTGTTTTCTCACTTTCCCTCTTTCTCCCTTTGGTAAGCACACACACACTTTGGCAATAAGGGAAAAAAAAAAAAAAAAAAAAGCTTACTTTTTTTTTGCCCACAAGCAAGACAGACAGAAAGACAGCATCCCTAACTGGCTATGATACACCCCAAGCCTCAGCCAGAACAGATCATGGACACATGTGTAAGCATGGATTGTTCAAGACCTTCAAATGTGAATCCATAACTTTCCCGTGAGGGTCATCCTAGCAGAACGTGGCCCCACTTCGGTCTCTTTCTATTCCATTGTGTTTCTGTCAGAACAAACAAATGGCTTCTTTCTGAAGTGCAGGTAACATTAACAACTTTTTGGTGCTGCAGGGAGTAAAGCAAGGAGATGAGAAGAATCAACGATAAGCTCTCTGGCAGAGAAAGAACAATAAGCAGGTGAACATGGCAGCAAAATGGCAGACTGCAGGGACAGCAGTGAATGTAATCTCTTGCCCTTGACTCACAAATAACCAAGGATAATATAGTTGTTGATATTTTCTTATTCTCCAAACAAATTGGTTGTCACTACTCTTCTGGTCCTATTATACAATTTGCCTGAGCTGTTGCATTTGTTTTTTTCCAAAGTCATCTCACCTAAGCCCATTTCAAGTGCGCTTGTGGTATTCACTGTCAGATCAAGCATTGGGCACCCAATTAAATATTGACAAACAAATTGATGTTCATTTGCAAGAGCTGAGAACTTCTTCAGACAGTTTAGGAGAATGGGTGTTTACAAGGCATTACAAGTCATTTGAGAATGTCATACATTATTTCAATATATCTGTATAACTTTTTTGCCATATAATGACACACACTAGAAGTAGATTTCTATACAAAACCAATGCCATAGACTATGGTCTTCTAACAATATGCCTGTAGATCTGAAAGATCTTCATAAACAGATCATAAATTTGCAAAATAATTTTCTACCTTTGTTCAATCCTTCTAATTTAGCCCCTAACATTTTAAATAAACTTAAAGACACTGATCCTTTTAAGATGCTTTGCCACTCCTTATGGTATTTCTTGAAAATTGTTGTGTCAATAATCTTGCTTATGTTTATTTTCCTACTAGTCTGCAAAACCACTTGACTCCAATGAGAGAACTTCCGTACAGCAGGCGTCCAGCTCCACAAACTCAAATTAGAAAAAGAAAAAGAAGGATATGTAGGGAGTGGCCCAATCTGAACAAACATGGTGACCTTAAGATGGGTACAGAAATGTGGTTCCATGAGCTTCATTTGCATAGCAATGAAAGCAATTAATATATGAATACACTAGCTGTGTGTTGTTACCTGTTACTGTGTCGCTATATGGGGTTAAGAAAGCCACACATGTTATTCAGATTTCACCCCAAAAGACCAGAAGAAACCACATGGCACCAGTCGCCATTTGTTTTCAGATCATTAGGTGATTAACAACTGAAAACAACTGGCTTTGCATTCCATTTCCTCTTCCCCCATTTTCTGCCCTATAAAATAATAAACCTGAGGCTGGTTCACTATCCTGGCTTTCTTTCTCCATCAGAGAATTTGGGCCCACCAATACTCGCTTTTCTATACTAGTATGTCTTTTTGTGCTTATTTTTATGTTTATTTTGTGGACAGAAGTCTGACTACTTTTCCTATTTTTCTAAAATCTTTTCAAAAGGGGACTGGGGAAGTCATGCCCACAAACATTAACAGACCATTTTACTTTCTATTAACAGGATTCTTCCTACCTCCTGTCCCTGGCATAGTCTTTGAGATGTATTTCTTTTGCTTATGCCTTCCCAAGACACAGAACTTCCCTTTTCCTTGAGATGTAGATTAAGCCTTTCTTTAACTAAGACAGGGATTTTCCCTTCCAATCACCAACCTAAGAATTTGTGGAACCCACCTATAACCTACAAGTCCCCGCTTCTACATGTCCCGCCTTTTTGGGCCAGACCAATGGGAAATCTTTTAATTAAATGTTGTGTGTCAATCTCAAAAGCAAATAAAAGGAACCTATGTACATGATCACCCTGAGAAAAGGCATGTATGCCTCTTCTCCGGGCCTAGATCACTCACAGTTGGCTTGGAAATAAACCGCATTAATTATTAATTATTAATTTTACAGTTGGTTATATTTTTTCCATCGACAATTTCTAATCCACAGACCCATT